GTACAGAGTTGAAAATATAAAGCAACGTAGTATTTTTAGGATCAGTTTACATTTTTCTGCAAGGATTCACCTCTAAATGTTACACAACTGCACAATACCTGCACCCTAACGCCGTGATGATGATAGTAGTTATAAGGAACAAAAAGTCAGTTTGCACACCCCTTGTTCAGGGCATTTACGGTGCGTAAAGCGCATGTCAAACGAAAACTCACTATTTCTTCAATCAGTGCTACGGATCCTGTGCAACGACCGATTTAGTGAAGTTTGATCACCTGTTCAGGATTAGTCCCTCATTTCTGACTGCGAACCGGAGAGGCAAGTGGTATCCTAGCAAAGGCTTCGGGTCTCGAGATCAGTTGCATCGACTTAAACCATTAGATGACTGCAGCCGATTGCAATTGTTACAGATGGCTGTCAATTTATTGCTAGGTTAAGTGATTTCTTTTGCTTAAATTAAGTTCCACTATAGTGATAGTTCAACGAGTATTTTGGAAACTTGAAGTTTGTTTTCGTCAAGTACTATCATCATTCTATAATTTTTGTGTTTTCCCTTGTATTCTTCTATTCGTCTGCTCTCCTGGCAGTTGTTCTAGTGATTCTGCTAACCACCTTATATCTGTTTTAACTCTCAAAATGGTGCGGATGAAGAAGACTTCGTCATGCAAATTGGAATAGCTTTTGTGGCCATTACGACTTGTGATTTGTTTCGTTGTTCTCTTTCTGGTGATTGAGGAGCTGGTGGCTACTTGTCATTTATATGATCTTACCTTGCTGGATCGATGTTGTGGGTCTGGTGGAGTGCCTTTTCTAACGACCTACTCGCACTCTGTGCACCAGGTGTGGACATAACTCGTCAATTCCGTGTCACGGTTGTTTGTTATGTTGCGCTCGCTGCATGACAATGTTCGAACTGTGCCTCGTGATTACTGTGCCGTTATATGTGGTTTCCTGTGTTGTGTGTCACAGTTACCATACCCCTAGGTATCTCGAAAACGAAGCAATTAGTAATTTCAAATGGGGGAGCCCTGTGCTTCAGTTTGCAAATAAATATAGGGAAAATGCAACTCTATCAAACCACTGAATCAGATGACTTATTGATAACTCGTTAATGCGCTAGATTTTGTCGAATATGTGCAATCACCAAAGATAATAGAAATTTGCAAGAAGCATTCTAATGTTTTGGACTTAGCGCCAACTTTCCTTTCACAGCCGGATTTCGAAATGCGTCAGAAAATTAAGTTGGTCCATCGGCATTTGAATTGTTCAAGACAACCACGTTTCATTTTTTACGAAACGACGAAGAAGCGCCGCGGCAGAAGTAAACTTACGATAAACGGCACTCGATTAGGATAAACCAGGTGAACTCGCATGTTTAAAACTCTTTCCTATTATAATCAGGTTCTAGCAAAAATGATTAATATTTGTATCCTTATTCTTGTTATTGTCCAGCCATATTTACTAATGCGAGAAAGGGAACACCCCCCTTTACCTGAATAATACACTAAAAGTAAATATCTGAATGCATTCTTTCCGGATCTATTTCACTTCAGACACCAGGTTGCTTGCAAAAGTTTTCCTGTAACTCCGAAAGTATTTATCCAACTACTACATCTTCAAGAAAGAAAAAGGTTTGTTTCTCAGTATTTTCTGATTCAAGTCCGNNTACAAGTAAGGTATTAATTAGACTCAAAGTCCAATTTCTTAACGTTCACTATTCAGAGACAAAAAGTTATTTCGTTTTTATCTATCTACCCGTTTTGTACTAACAAGCGGATTATCTCTTACTCAGGGGAAGAAATCTTCGAAAAATAATATTTGGCTCTGGCAAATTTGACTAGCGAAAAATTAAATGTCCAAACTTAGACATTTTGCATTATCTTGATTGCTTGTCTTTTCATGCCTTTTGGACGCATAACAGTGTAGTTCAGAAAGAATTCATTGACTGTTAAGTATGTTGTTATTTGAGCTATCACATCCAGGTTGCAGAAGAAAAAACTGCCTAGATTTGGCTACGGATTTCCCTTATTTAAGCAGTTTTCTTTGCCACTTGCAAATTAATTAAACAAATGAGAAAATTATTTGTGATGGCCCTAAAAAACACTGGACGGATGTTCCACCTTTGTCAAAATTCATCATCAGTGCTCACTCTGATGTCCGCAACGAAACTCAAACCGCGAATTTCCGGGTTGACACGGCGATTTTGAAAAGTTGTGTAGCCTCGGTGGGATTCGTAACAGCGCAAAGACGCCGCTTACGCTTGGTACGCGCACGCTCTACAAGCTCAGCTACGAGAACACACCGATTGCACATCATTTCTGAACAATTCCTTAAAAATCTGCTCTATACCAGAATGTTATAAACCAGTAACAATTGTTCTCATTCCCGCAACCCCTTCTTTAATCGTTCTTACCGAACGCTTACGTTCTATCGTTTTAATCTCTGCTGAACTTGAACTAGCAGAACATGTTGTTCTTAAGCACATTTAGTCCTCTATTGATGTCCCGTATGATCCTCTTCAGTTTACTTATAAACCAAACAGATGCACACTATATGCAATTTCCTCAATTTTACATAAAATTATCAACTCCTTGCAAGACTCTACGAAATATGTCTGTTGTGCGCTTCTGGACCACTCATCTGCTTTTGATTCTATTCTTCGTTCCCTTCTTCTTCGTAAACTGGAGGCCTTTGGTTGTTCTTGACAGTTGTTAGCTTGGCTTGCCGATTACTTCTCCGGGAGAACTCAGTGTACCAGGTTAGGTCGGAAGAAATCCAAACCGTTATTGAACAATTCTGGAGTAGTACAAGGTGCAGTTCTTTTCCCATACATTAGTGATTTGTCTGCTAGCGCCGCTACTTCTCTATTCAAATATGCTGACGATGTGGTTTTGTGTCGGGTCATCTTCGACTCTTCTGGTCTTTCACTATTTCCCGACAACTTAGACAACGTTCAACAGTTTTCCGCCACATCTGGCCTATCTCTTAATCCCTCCAAATGTTTCGAATGTCTCTTTATATCATCACGCTCTTCTTTCCCAACTGAATCGATATCGATTGGCTCTGAACCAGTATCCGGGGTAAACTGTATTAAATACCTGGGCGTTTTTATTGATACTAATCTTTACTGGATTTATCACACTCAACATATCGTCAGTAAGCTTCGACGACTTTCTTTTTATATCCGTTAACTTCGTCAGTTTCGTATTCAACAAGCGTTTATTTCCAAATTTGTGTACCAGTGTGTTTCCCCCTTTTAATTTATTTTTCACCTGTTATTTTTTCCAATCTTCTAAAGAAAGATTTTAAACTGCTTCGACGTGGACTGAACATCATTAGCCGTGCCTCTACTATCCCGCTGAAGGAGTTGGTAACTGACCTTTGCGGACGTCATTTGAATGCATGTGAAAAGTTTACACATAAGATTCTCCTCAACTGCATACATCCACTACACCCTGATCTAACTTCCTGTTGTTCCCATCCTTCAACCAGATCCCACTATCGTTGTGTTCCCTCTCGAAGAAACATATATCGTAACTCTACAGTAAGCTCATTAGCACGTATTCTAGTTAACAAAGAACAGATTTCCACAGACTTTGTTAACAGCTTTGGGATTTAAATCTCTTTTTTAATTATTATTTTTTATTTTCTCCCTTGCTCCAACTTGTATATTTTTAACGGAAATGTAGGCTTCATGTCTACAGTATACAATTCAATACAATACAAAGGCCTTATCCTGTTTTCCACTTCCCACAGTTCTGCAACCCAATGTGAACAGGCCAAAAGTCACAGGTTTCATCATCGTTTATTGCAGTTAAGTGAAAAATTATTGCGAACCCCCATCTATCCAGATAACGGGGTTATTCCAAACAATTAACTGTATATCACATTTGGATTCTTTTGGTTTGCCACGGAATTTTTCAGTTGCTGGTTTCTTCTACGCTCACCGTGCAGATACGTTATCTAAAGTGCAACATCACATACGAAGTGAAGCTATTTTTGGCAAATTCATGGTGTTAATACGCTCGCTCAAGGTAAGACCCGAGCTATCAGTATTTTGCCTATTGCAGTACTGTGAAAGAAGAGCCGCGACAAGACAAAAGTCACCAAGATTTTCGTTTAGCTAATGTTGCTACTCACAATGACAAGTAGTTGAACTAGCAATGTGCAAAACTCGAAGGAAGGACGACAAGTTATACAAATCAAATCACATCATTATGCACTTTCAAAATCAGATAAAAGCAGGCGAATATAAACGATTATCAATACCGTGAATCTACAGTAATATAAAAGAAAGAGGCACTGGCCTCTAATATTGATTATGGAAGATGTGTTCGGGGGGGGGGGGTTGGGAAGATGATGGCAATGAACCCGAATGGGATAAATGTGCACCGTCCATCGATTTT